GAGTAATCCACCCTCATGAATGGGACTAACACCCTTATAAAAGAGGTTTCAAAGAGCTGCCTGGTCCTTCCATATCTTCTGTTATGTAAGGACACTACATTCTTCCCTTTTGACCTTCCACCATGTGAGGACACACCAAGAAGGCACCATTGTGAAAATTTTTCAGACATTGAATCTGCTAGAGCCTTGATCTTGGACTTCCCAGTCTCCAGAACTGTGAGAGATAAATTTTTGTTGTTTATAAATTACCCAGTCTGTGGTATTTTGTTATAGCAGCAGTAATGGACTAAGACACATATTTATCATTTTTTGTGATGAGAACAAAAAATGTATTCTCTTAACAATTTTCATGTATATAATACATTGTTATTAAGTAGTCACCATGTTGTACAATAGATCTCTCGAATTTATTCCTCCTGTCTGACTGAAATTTTGTACCTTTTGACCGACATCTCTCCAATCCCTGCCCCTGCCCCCAGCCCCTAGTAAGCACCAATCTCTCTGCTTCTATGAGTTTGACGTTTTTAGGTCCTTCATTAAGTGATATCATGCAGTGTTTGACCTTCAGTGCCTGGCTTATTTCACTTAACATATTATCCTCCAAGTTCATCCAAGTATCATAAATGACAGAATTTCTTTCTTTTTTAAGGCTGAATAATATTCCATTATATGTATATATATACATTTTGTTTATCCATTCATCCATCACTGGATATTTAGTTAGTTTCCACCTTTTGGCTATAGTGAATAATCCTGCGATGAACATAGGTGTACTACAGTTGACACTCCTGCCTGTGTTTTACCATTAATCTAATCTCTTCCTTCCCGTTATGACATGGAGATACCATGTTATTATACTTTTTCCACTAATCCCTTCCCCCCACCTCAACACCACCAACCAGAATTATCTCCAAGCAGATATTACAGATATACTATACTGAAAAATTAACAGTAAGACTTCTATGTCTAATCATTTTGAGCCTGAGCTTTCTTTTAGTAAAGGATGGCAATCTTGTTACTAACTACCCTAACTACAAGAAGGAAATTAAGATAGATTTTGCTTAATTGTTCCATACATCTAGTTGAGAAAATAAATCCAGATTACCATTTCTCTATTTACTGAATATTTTATAAAAATATGTCAGTTCCCATTTATAGTAGTAGCTGTCATAGTATTAAGAATAGTGGCAGTTGAGGTCATGACAAATAAATATTGATGCCAACTTTCTGTCGGAACCTGAGCTAAGTGCTTTTTTATGATTATCTCACTTAATACTCAAGAAATTATACTAAAGCAGAGTCTTATTATGCCTACTTTATTAATGAAGATTCTGTCCATATCTAGCCTACCACATTATTATACTAAATGCTTCACCTAATTTAATACTTCAATTGACGAATCTGTGTGAAAAAATTATTTATTCATGTTTTTTAGAGATGAATAACACTGAGGTGCAGAGAGATCAATTAACTTGTCTAAGTTTGTGCAGCCAGTACTGGTTGAGTCAGGATTTTGCCCCGTGTTCCTCTGCTTGCAAAGGCTGTGTTCTCAATCACTGCATTTCACTGAGGCCACACGTTACGTTCTACCCTTTCCTGGTGCTTCTGAGCTTCCTCTGTGCTACACTGGGTATGGAGGTTAGGGGGGGGATAAAATTAGCTTCAGTATGGCCAGACACTAACTCTTTAACTACAGTATATTTCCTCATCACTCACAGCCTCAGTCTACTCAGCTATAAAACACTGAGGAAATCTTACAAGAATTTTGTAATAATTAAGTGTCCAGAGTGATATTAAGTACAATCATTGACATAGAGTAATTCTTGAACAAATGTTGTCTCCCTTATCAACATAGCCTTAATTAACTTAATAGTCTTTCTCTCCTTTCCTTTACATTAAATGAAACAGGTAAAGAATGTATAATAGTTTGCTTACTTAGTGATCATCACTGCCTTTTTGCTGGCTGCCATAGTTGTCTACAATTTTATAAAGAAATAAACATTTATGTAGGAGAATATGCTCTGAATTCTGTTGTGTTTCTCTCTTTCTCTCTCTCTTTATTTTTGCTTTTTAGCATATAGAAATGCAGCTGAAATTGTTCAGTATGGAGTAAAAAATAACACCACTTTTCTTGAGTGTGCCCCCAAGTCTCCCCAGGCATCTATCAAGTGGTTGCTACAGAAAGACAAAGACAGGAGGAAAGAGGTGAGTGATGCGGCGCAGCGGCAATCCATCAGGGCTTTGGAAAGAACATTAAATCACCATGCCTCAGTGAGGTTCGGATCCAAGAAAAAAGGAAAGGCATATGAACATCCTTTTATGTCTTTGGGATGACAAGTGCGACTTTCTTTAAAATCCTTTGCCCTAAGAATTGATGGATTAATTAGAAATTCTCTCTGCCTACTCACCTCTGTAATACGGTGATTGAAACAAGAGCTTAGGCACTAAGACGGTGGTATTGCTGTGAGGAAACATTAGTAAAAGAAACAAATTGTGCACAAATCTAGACGCCTAGTTTTCACACAATAGCACCTTTGTGTGATTCACAAGATAAAAGGAGGCTTTCTAAAAAGTTCAGTTTTCCTCAACAAGAAATTACACTGAACTATAACCTTCATGGCAAAGGCATTTTTCTGCTGTGTGGTAATCTGTTTCCATTACTTTATTATTCATAACACTTGTGCTTTGCTTAGGTAATATATAGAATCGTTGTTTACGGGGTTATTGCATTTTGTTAATGATATGAAAAAAAAACCTTGGATTTTCAAATAAAAGGATACCTAGTGTAACCTTTCACTGATTGGAAAGAGCTGTTTTATAAGGGAAGCATTGTAAAATGGCATAGGGTGGTATATTATAAATAATGAATTGCATGATATTGATGTCGTGTTGTCTTGACAAATGAGAAGATAAAAATATATATGTATATATAAAGCCTTAGGGAAGTCTGAAATGTACTACTATTAGTGCATCATAAAGTGTGATGGAGCTAAGGGAAAAATAAGAACCCTCTGCATTTCTGTGTATTCTTCTGTTGTGGGCAATCTTGATGCTACATATTAAGTTAATTAAGGCTATGTAGAGTGCATACCATCCCAAGCTGTGGAACACAGATACTGCATCAAAGTTACTAAAATAAATGTTGGCTCCATTTGAGAAAATACTTTCCAGCTCCCAGACTTGCCTATCCAAAGATGTTATGAGCTGTTTAGGAAATTGCATGACCCCTGTTACTGGAATATTAAGCCATAGGCAGATGACCACTTGCGAAAGAGGAGATTTAATTATCAAAGGAAAGATGAGCTAGACGGATTTCAGAGCCTCATCTTGCCCCAAATTCTATGAGACTAAAAAATACTTCTAAAAATGTTAATAACAAATTTATTATTTATTTGAGATCTATTTTCTTTTTTTGAAATTTTAATAGACTTTATTTTCTAGAACAGTTTTGGATTTACAGAAAGATTGTGAAGTTTCCTTAATTATTATCATCTAACATTATGATACATTCATTATAATTAATGAACCAATACTGATATGTTACTATTAATTAAAATTCTTACTTTACTCAGATGTCCTTAGCTTTCATCTAATGTCCTTTTTCTGTTCCAGGATCCCATCCGGGATACCTCATTACATTTGTCCTCAGGTCTCTTTAGCCACCCTTAGCTGTGACAGTTTCTTGGACTTTCCTTATTTCTGATGACCTTGACAGTTTTGAGGAATACTGATCAGATATTTTTTAAAATGTCCTTCAGTTGGGATTTTTCTGATTTTTCTCTCATGATTAGACAAGGGTTATGGTTTTTGGAAGACCACAGAGACAAAGTATCATTTCATCACATCATATCAAGGGTAAACACTAGATGTGATAAAATGCAGTAGCTACTATTAATTGTAAGAAAATAAGAGAGGTGGCTATGGAAAACAAGGATGAATGGAAGCTCTTTTTATTGCAGTGAATATGTGTTTTAATTTCACAATCATATGTGCACTACATGATTTTTGTCATCAGGAATTATCAGCCAGAGAGTATATGGCACAATTAGTTTCTGTGTCTCATTAATTACTTGAATATTAAACTAATGCATGTTAGATTATTTTTTTATTTCAAAATATTAAGAAGGTACAAATGGTTTATTACATGGATACCTTGTATAATGCTTAGGTTGGGGCCTTTGGTGTGCCCATCACCAGAATAGTGTTCATTGTATCCAATAGGTAAGTTTTTATCCCTCACCCCTCCTCCCACCCTCAATAGGGATTAACTAATATAGGGAAAGTAATTTTCCTTTATTCAGTAGCAATTTCAATAGAATAGTGTGTAAGTGAATATAATTTCTATGATTTAAAGTTAAATACACACACACACACACACACACACACACACACACACATATAGGCTTGAATACATGCCATGGAAATTAACGATAAAATTTAAAATGGAATGTGTTATTAATTATTCTCTCTTGTGATGTTTCTAATGTTCTATTTCAGAATACTCAACAAAGTGGAGATTCAAATAGTATTACCTTGATTTTCTTCCATTCTTAAAAACACAACAATGTAATAATTTAAGATTATAATAAAATTTAACACAATTATGAAAATCAGTTTCTTAGTGAAACTTAGTGAAATAAACTATAATATTTTATTAAATTTATCCTGATTTCATTTTACTATTTCAGGCAAACATATGTTTATTGCTCATGTTGCTGATAATTAAACTTTGTTTTAGAAAAGTAAAACAAATGATGAAAGCTCATGGAGCAAGTGCAAATAGTTCATACTAAATAGCATAAAGTGAAAACTAAACTCCTCCACTTCATATTCCTCCAAATATGCTCTATGATTTTCCTCCCCTGCTCTCTCTGACACACACTCAATGACACACACACG